TTTTTTTTTTTTTTTTTTTTTTTTAATTAATTAATTAAAAATAATAATATTATTATGGAGATGCTACAGAGGTGAGATCATATATCTCGATTTAAATTAGTGTGTAACATATGAAATGATAGTTAAACTAAGTCTATCCAATTTTATAGACGAAGAATTAATGCTTATTGAATGTTTTTAACTTTGGATTAGTAATAGGTTCAGTTGGAAGGCTAGTGAAAATTTAATTTTTTAGATCCTATTATAATGAAAATTTATTATATTTATCTTGATATATATAAGTTATCTCTATAAATTTCGTATGAAAATTTTGTCTCATCTCATAAAAAATAAATAATTAATTAAAAAAAAAATATATATATATATATATATATATATATATTTCGAGAAAAACTCCATATAAAGATGATCCCTACAAATTCCTTTGGTAGAATCTCGGCCTCGACTTCTAAAAAAAACAAATAAAGAATTTTTTAGGGTATATAAAGAATATGGTCCCTACAAATTCCTTAAGGAGAAAATTTTCACACGGAGAACTCGACCCCTATAAATTCCTTACGAAGAATCTCTACTTCGATCTCTATAAAAAATAATTTAAGAGGAAATGTTGATAAAATATGATGCAATGATATGGACCTAAAATAGAAAATTTCACCTCGATCAGTCTGAACCAAAATAAATATTTTTAAAATGGATGGTAATTAAAATAGGACGAGATAGAAGAGGACGGTGAATTAATTTAAAAGGTTGAGTGTATAAATGGTCTTATAAAAGCATATTTTAAAATTTATGTAACAATTATTCTTTATTTAAAAAATTATTTGTCAACTTTACCTGTTTCGATAATATTTTAAAAAATAATAAGAAGAAAAATAAAGGGAATAAAATCGAATATTGCTGAAGTAGTCACATATTTTTATTCTATTCCCTTTTTGACCCTAGATTCAAACATTTTATTCCACCTTTTTTTTAATTTTATGTTGTGAATAACGAATATTTTTGTGTTGAAAACTAAGTTCACAAGGTTATTTGAAAAATACACCAATATATATTATATATATGGAAAAATACACCCAACTTTATTTATATTTTTGTATACACGTTGTTCAGGTAAAAAAATATAACCATCTATTAAGAAGATTAGTAAATAAAATACGAATAAAGTAGGAAGATTTGATAATTAGTCTACCATCTATTTTATTAATTATTAGATCACTTCAGGTCGCTTCCTTGAACCACAATTTTAGTGTTGAGTTAGTTATTTAATAGCAGTTGTTGTCGCCTCACAATTTTAAAGCGTTTTTGCTACAGAGAGGTTCTAGCTTTACTTTGATTAGTGTCTCACACAGTACGAAACCTATCTCTAATATCATTGGTAACAATCCAAATTCACCGCTAACAGATATTGTTCGTTTTTAACCTGTTATGTATCATTGTTAGATTCACAGTTTTAAAGCGTGTCTTTCAGAGTTATATAACGAAATCGGTATTCATCTAGACATTGTCCTCTTGGCCGTTTCCTTACCGGATTTCCGTCAAGATTTTTGCATTTTCCCTTGTGAGTTTCTACATTACACGTATGTTAGGGAGAAGTTTCCACATATTTATAAGGATTGTTTCATTATCCTCTTGAATCAATGTGAGATCTCACATTTTTTAGTTGGAAAAATTTACAATTTGAATAATTGGGATGAGTCTAAAAATGTCTCTAACTCAGCCCAATCTCATGGTTTTGTTTTGGGCTTCCAAAAAGCCTCATACCAATATACCAATGAAGTTAGTATTCCTCACTTATAAACCCATTCCCTAAATTAACCAATGTGGGACTGACTCGTTTAGAGTTTTTTGACTGCCCCTTCGTACGGCTTGATTGCTCTGATACCATGTTAGATGAACACAACTCTCCACAATAGTATGATATTGTCCACTTTGAGCATAAGCTCTCATGGCTTTGCTTTGGCTTCCCAAAAAGATCTCATACCAATGAAGTTAGTATTCCTCATTTATAAACCCATGATCATTCTCTAAATTAGTCGATGTGAGACTTTCATCATCCAACCATTATAATAAAAAACATGTCGTAGTTAAAGGACTAAATAGAATTTTATGAAAATTTAGGGATGAAGATAAAATAAAAGTAAAAGTGGGGGTGGACTTTTTAAAAATTAATATTTTGCCCACATGCTTGTTATTTTCACACGCTCGGGAGAGATAAATATAATCACTTGTAATTAAATAAATAAATAAATATATATATATATATATATCAAATTATATTATTTTATTTAAGTCTCAATTCCCTCTCCAAATTTTTAAATTTTTAAAAATTGTCAATTTTTACTTTTTAAAAAATAGATAAATTTGTATAAATTCTTATACGCGTCAAATAATATTTTGTTGGTATTTAATAAAAAGATTAAAAATATAATTTTAGTTTAAAATTCAGTTTTTATTGATTAAATAATAATAATAATAATCCTTACATAATAAAATACTTCAAATGGAATAAAACTTTTTGAAAATAATAATAATAAATTAATAGTTGAGATTAAATTTATAATTTTTGAAAAAATATACAGATAAAATAATATTAATTCTATTTCTTCTTATCAAAATGTAAATATTATTTTTATCAAAGGTTTAATTGATTTTTTGAAAACTATTTAAAACCTGTTGTGGTAATAATAATGATAAAAAAAGAAAGGTCTTGGTTACAGATATTTTTTGTTCTACTTTTATTCTGGCAATAATAATAATAATAATAATAATAATAAAAATAATAAACGAATTTTGTTTTTTTCTATTCAACGCTCCAAAAAAACGTGCTTCAACTCCTCACTTTTTTTATTGCTAAGTAATACAATTTTTCAAAGCCGCAGGCAGATAGAGACCAATTCGTTTCCTCATTGGAACTGTGAAGAAATTTGACCTGTTATACTTCCTGTCTTCTTCATCTCCGCCGTCTATGTCCACCGGAGCCGGCGAAACCATCGTCACTCCATTTTTCACTACGTAGATTCAGCAACCACTGGGTAGATTTTGGGGATTTTGATTTCTTGCTGTTGCTGCTGTTGTTGTTTGTCATGTCGAATCCATCGGATGCCGGCGGAGGCGTGAGATTTTCCGAACGGAAGCAGCTGGCGAAGCGGCTGGAGAAATCGAACTTTTCACAGGCCTGTAATCTGCTGAGCCAACTCTTAAAGGAGAAACGGAGTCTTGCCGATTTGAGCTCCGATATGGCTCTGAGGAAGAAGCCGAGAGGTATTGATTTGGTTATTATTTGGTTGGGAGGGATAAATTGGTTCTGTTTTTTTTTTTTTTTTTGTTCTTTGTACGAATTTTGAAACCCTCAGAATTTTTAGATCTTCGCCGAGATAATCGGATTCCAATCTCCTTGAACTTACTCGAGATTTTCCCCTCCCTTTTTTGGGATACGATCTAGATGAACTCGAAAAGGCCAAGCCGCCGCCGATGGTGAATACGGCCATTTCTTCCGACGCTACACGGCAGCAAAAGGATAATCTGCCGAAGTTCGTCGGATTTCCTTCGTCGGGATTCTCCAATAACGCCATCAATAAGGGCGAGTTCAGGTGCTCAGAGATTCCCCTCAACTTTTAGGCTAATTTCCTTTTCAATTGAGTACAATTTTTTAATTACTTGCTCACTGCTGTTGCCCAAGAGAAAAGTGCCAAAGCGAAGAAGATAATTATTAGGTTAAATTATATCCCTATGAAATGGAGTTCTAATTTCTGATTATCTTCACGGCGATTGTTTTAGGAGACCGGCCACACCGGAACCTGCAACCGCTCAAATGACCATTTTCTACGCCGGGAAAGTTCTGGTGTACGATGATTTTCCAAACGAAAGGGCCAAGGAGATCATGGCCTTGGCTGATAAGGGAAGACGCATCTCCTCCACCGCCGCCGTTCCCCCCACAGCCGCCTCCCCCAACATATTCGGTCCTGCTTTGGAAAAACCCTACAGTAAGGCTCCCGCCGGTGAGCCAAATGTGGTGTCCAAAACTCAAGCTCCGGTGAAGCCGGCACCGGAGCAGCAACTGAAACCGCAAACGGAGACAAAAAAATCTTCTGGTAACAATCGCCATGGAAAATTCAATGATGGATTCTGGTTGATTATCTTGATTTGGTGTTCTTAATTTGATTTTCTGACCCCCTTTTTGTTATTGGGCAGATTTGCCTATTGCTAGGAGGGCTTCCCTTCACCGATTTCTTGAGAAGAGAAAAGACAGGTACTGATTTTCATATTGTTTTTGTTCTTCCTCTTTGATTTTTGAAGTTGAACAGAGCTCTCTGGTTAAGATTTTCTCTATTTGCTTCTCCAAAACTGTTATTTAGATCCTGTTTTGGGTTTTTCTTCCTTTTTTTAGCAAAAAGAATGTTGATTGGTTTCAGAAAACATGTCAAAATTTATTCCTATAGTCTAGTTTAAATAAGATTTACTCGGAAATAGTGTTTTGTAAACCTGGTTTATTGAAGAACATATTACAATATTAGTTTCGACCGGTGCGACGTTGTTCGTACTCTAGTTTTCATTTCATACCATTATCATATCATTTCAAGTTTTAAATTTCGTTCATCCGTGTAACGGATTTGGATGGGTACTTCTCATAATTTAGTTTTTACTTGAAGATTAAAGCTTTCTAAATATGTTTCTTTTCCTTCTCTCTTGTTAGTTTTAGAACTAAAACAAAACTTAAGTAAGTTGGCTGGAAAGGAAAATCTTACCCAATACAGATATCATAGAAGAGAACAATCCAATGAAAAATTCAGTTCATATGCCATATAAACCTGGTGTGGTTAAAAGATATGGAGAAAAGTTACTGAAGGGTGAATTTGTAGATGTTTGTCTTGTTACACAGAAAGATGAATCACTGTTTGTATAAACCCAGTAACAATTTGTAACCCAAAGCTGAGCACTGTAAAACTTGGGGAACTACTACTTTTTAAGGTCTTCAAAAAGTATTGATGAACACATTTGAAACTGTGGTGCTGACAATTTATCACAAAGATTATTCCATTTGTAGGCAGGAATCCCCAAACTTTCTTCTTTATCCTTGTTTTTTTTTCTTCTTTCTTTCCAGAAATTTGCAAAAGAAACCCCTGAACTATAGGGATTTTATCATCGCAACCCTTGCACTTTCAACTTTTGCAATTGTCTCCCTCTTTGAACCTCTCATTATCAGGACATGGACATAGATAGTTAGGCTTGCTGGCCTTGTGATTAACAACCATTAAAAGGTCGAGAGTTTAGCTGTAAAAACTAAAGTTCGAGGGTGTAATTGTAATAATTGTCATACTCATTAGGACGGATTTTGTTTTATTTTTGTTCGTTTGATTGAACAATATTGTTTATATCATTAGGACTGTATCGAGAGAGCCGTTCCAAATGAACCAACAACTCGAGGGTATTCTTAAAGGAAGTGGAAGTAGCTCAACCAACGAGCCTGAACCTGAACCTGTTCGTGAGCCGGAAGTCGAAGCTGAAGAAGGCTTCCCTAAGCATCTCGATCTCAACTTATAACTTGGTTTTGCATTACATAGGTCAATTGTTTCTATCTCCAAATTTATTTGCTGTTTTGTGTTATATATTACATATAATTAATTCCCCCTTCCAACAACTATGCCTTCCTACTAATACAAATGTTATCCCAATCATGTTTTGAATTTTTTTTCTAACTAAATTTTCGATGCAATATGAAAGAGTAGTTTTTTTTGTTGACCTTAGTGCTTATTTTTATGATATTCTCGAATGAATATTCGAGATATTGATGGTCAAGTAAATAGACATAAACATATAGCATCGAATTTATGGTCAAGGACTCTATTATATAGTTTGTGATGTTATCCCTTTAAAGCTAAAAAGTTTGGTCGGTGAGGTTATCTTTTATTTATAATAAAAAAAACTATAATTTGTGAGATCCCACCTTGGTTGAAGGGAGGAACGAAACATTCCTTATAAGAGCGTAAAAACCTCTCCTAGACGTATTTTAAAAATTGTGAGACGGACGACGATACGTAATGGGCAAAAAACGGACAATATTTGTTGGCGGTGGGCTCAGATTGTTACAAATGGTATTAGAGCTACACGGGTCATTGTTGGTTGGAGAGGGAATGAACCTCTCCCTATTGTACACATTTTAAAATCATGACGTTGATGGAATGAATGGATTTTTAAAATTTTGCTTTGGTGAGGTAATTTCATTTAACCTAATAAACAATTGGTTGGAATAAATTATCTACGAATTTTAAGAATTAAAATGTGTCCGAAGATTTATTCAAATAAATATTTAAAGAGTTAAATATAAGATATATTTGTATTATTTGATACAATTTTAAAAACGATCGTCAGGAATTTGACGAAGATGTACACGTGTCAATATAAGATTGGCAGTCATATATTCGTGTGTAACCAATACGTAATGATATCTTCGCCCGGGCCCTAAACGGCATTTTATAAGTCTTCTAAGTTGCAACCATTAATTGATTTTCCCCCAACCCGGAGGAGCTTTTCCGTCTCCAATTTTTTCTGGCCTTTGTTCGACTCTTAACCCTAAAACCCTCATCTTCCCGGTAAAATTTTTCGTTCTTTTTGGCGGAAAATTGATCGAGGGAATAAGAATGCAACATCAGAGATTGAAGCAACAACAGCAACAAGCTTTGATGCAGCAAGCTTTGCTTCAGCAACAGTCTCTTTACCATCCTGGTCTCTTAGCTCACCCTCAGGTTCGAGTTCTTCTTTGTTTTAATTTCGGCTCACATTCGTATGATCTACACGTATTTCTTTCGCCATTGCTGTATTTTTGTTGTGGGGTTTGGCTGTCGATCTATGAGTAGTACTTGTGAAGTTATGACCGATTCGGTGCTGTCTGTCGTAGCGGTGTTTTTTTTATAGCTTTGTACGGTTTCGAGTTCTGAATTTTTGTAAACAAATGATTTCCCCCGTGTTGAGAGATTGAATGTTTGTGATGGGTATTCGTATTTTTTTTATAGTTCTGATTAGTTGTGGGTATCTGCTGGGTAATGTTGAGCCCGTTTGGATTAATTTTTGGTTTCTTGAAGTCTTTTATCTTAACAAAACATGAAACAGGATCCCTTTAGATGCTCTAGGGCCATCAATGATGGTATGACGTGCATGCAGTGGCTCACTTCTGGGGCTAAAATTTTCCATTCGGCGTGTATGCTGTCGATGCATAATGTTTGTGAATCATTTTTTATTTTTTTTTATAATGTAATCCGCTCTGGGGTTCAGGCAGATTATACCATTTTATACATAATTTATCATCCTGGTTGAGGACAGTTGACTTCCACCAACCCAGTTAGGTTTTACCAGCTTACATTATCATAGAACTGGAATTTCCTTATGACGTGAAATCTTGAGTTACTGTAGCTGGTCCGTGTCTTTCCTGTTATTTTCACTGCTTTCCTTTTTACTTGTGTGATCTCTGTCTCTCCAATGTACTGGTTGAAATACCATCGAGTTTAGCTTTTCATTTGGTTGCAAGATTTCGTTTAATCTGCATGATTGCATCCATTATATATATATTTTTTGTTTTTCACTCATTTCATAAAGATGCATCTTCTCTATCATATACTATTCCATTATTTTCCTTTTTATTTATTTTTTTGTTTCCATTATGCAGCTCGAACCAATTCCAAGTGGAAATTTACCACCAGGTTTTGATCCAAGTACCTGCCGCAGTGTGTGAGTGATTTTTTAGACGCTTCACCTCTTTTTTCTGCATTATGCTAACTTGTGTTTTCTTGCAGTCGTCATGTCTCTCTGTCACAGATTTGTCATCGACTATCAAGTTGTCATACTTTTTGTTTCTATAGTTCCTAAGAGACTGGATCTCTAATCATTTAATTTGAGCTTATGCTTTAAAATGACGCCTTCTCAAATCTCAACCAAGTAGCTAGATTTTTTTTGTTGAGTTTTATTTTTTATGTATACTATATGACTTTTGTCGATTACTTATATTTTGTTTGTATTTTTTTTTTTTCCTTTTCCTTTTTTAAAACTTTTAGTTTCTTTAATTTTGAGGAAATGCAGGTACGTAGGAAATGTACATACACAGGTAACTGAACCACTTCTTCAAGAGGTTTTTGGGAGTACAGGCGTTGTTGAAAGCTGCAAGCTTGTTAGAAAGGAGAAGGTTGGTCCACAGGAGCCTATGATACGAAACCTTTGTTCTAACTCTATTTATTTCCCCATACAATGGAATAGATCTAATTGTTTATAGTACTGATAATTTCAAGGTCTTCTGTTTCCTTCCTGTCTATTAACATCCTTGTTGCCACTGCTTTATGCAGTCATCCTATGGATTTATTCACTATTTTGATCGCAGATCAGCTGCTATGGCTATTTTGTCACTTAATGGGAGGCATTTGTAAGTATAGAACTGTATTTTTTTTTCATTTTCCATGTTTGTACTTCTGTTTCCTGTCTCAATATTGTGCTTTGCAGGTTTGGGCAGCCTATCAAAGTAAATTGGGCTTATGCTAGTGGTCAGAGAGAGGATACATCAGGTGTGGGATCTGTTCTGAATCAGTAGCTGTGAGTTGCAACTGTTTAAATAATTTCTTCTATATTCACCTGCTTCTTTTGTGTACAGGTCATTTCAACATCTTTGTGGGTGATCTTAGCCCTGAAGTTACTGATTCTACTTTGTTTGCATGCTTTTCTGTTTTCCCAAGCTGTTCGTAAGCTTCAGCCCCTGGAAACTATTTTTTAATTTGTTTGTTGTCCTTTGAATTTTGCATGTAATTTCTAGTTATGCAAGATATAAGTTTGCAGTACTCCACAGCTCAAAAAGCTATTGGGGTTGGAATGGATATGTTAGTAGTTTGTCTTTTTTATCGTACAACATCTGATATTGTGTTCTATTGGTTTCAGCGATGCCAGAGTTATGTGGGATCAGAAGACTGGGCGTTCCAGGGGATTTGGTTTTGTTTCTTTTCGCAACCAACAGGTTCAAACTACATCTAATTGAAATATATTTTTTTGCCATTATTTCTCTCTCTACTAAATTTTGCTCCCTTTCCAGGATGCTCAAAGTGCAATAAATGACCTGACTGGTAAGGACTTAATTGCTTCTGATAGTTTTAATTTCTTGTACTAGATTTTCATTTGGTTGAACAATCAAATCATTGGCTGAAAAAAGAAAAGATTGATGATCTCTTCATTTGTGATTTCTTTTAATTGTGGTATATTGTTATCAAATATCTATAACAACATTGAAATTGAGTAGCATATTGTCTTTAACTTTTGTTATTGAAAGTCTTTTGCTATATTGCCCTATTGCTGACCATGCACGGTCTCCTTCAGGTAAGTGGCTTGGGAGTAGACAGATTCGTTGCAACTGGGCTACAAAAGGTGCTGGATCCAATGAAGACAAGCAGAGCTCAGATGTGAAAAGCATTGCAGAACTTACAAATGGATCATCTGGTGAGTGTTCATACCCCATGTTTAATGAGGTTTTCATTTCTTTCATTAGAAACTATTAAGTTTAGAATGTTCCAGTTTTGTCGTTTTGTTTACCTTGAGAATCATTCATACTCCATGTTTAATGAGCTTTTGACAATACTTGCATGAATTTTGACATTTCTGCAGAAGATGGTAAAGAGACGGTCAATAGTGATGCTCCAGAGAACAACCCTCAGTACACTACTGTTTATGTTGGCAATCTTGCTCCAGAGGTAAGATACCTCATTCCTATCTTTGTTATTTTTATTTTAAAATTTTTTAATGATTTATCTGGCTCCAAGCTGCCAATGATAAGATAACAGAATGAACTTTTTTTGGTACTCAACTTGCCAAGTTTTTGCTAGTGTAACACTTGGTTGAGGTTGCTGTATAAAATGAGGTTTCTTTTAATTCTACCCGTCTCTAGAAGGGCGCTCTGGTTTAATTTATAATTTTATTCCAGGAATTGGCAGGAAAAGAATAATTTCTCGAAGAATAATCTTGTAGCGTTTACCTAGTTGTCTGATATCAGTGATATCTGGGTGTTTTTGATTACTGGCATTTTGGATTTTTTTGAATAATTTTTCTTCATTTATACAGGCCACGCAGGTTGATCTTCATCGCCATTTTCATGCTCTTGGGGCTGGTGTGATTGAGGAGGTTCGCATCCAGCGTGATAAGGGCTTTGGTTTTGTTAGATATAGCACTCATGCTGAGGCTTCTTTGGCTATTCAGATGGGGAATACTCAGTCGTATCTTTGTGGCAAACAGATCAAGGTTTCGTTTCCTTCTTGTGTATATATAATTTTAGAAGGTGTTTGTGGAGTAGCTTTCTTAAGTCAGTTCTAACTGGCGGGGTTGTGTACCGTTTGTGTTTGCAGTGCTCTTGGGGAAGCAAGCCAACTCCACCTGGAACCATCTCGAACCCGCTTCCTCCCCCGGCAGCAGGTTCAATCCCAGGACTGTTGGCAACTGATATTTTAGCGTATGAGCGGCAACTGGCTATGAGCAAGATGGGTAGCGTCCATGCACTTATGCAGCCTCAGATACCACATCCTTTAAAGCAGGCAGCCATGGGGGGGATGGGTGCCGCTGGCTCAAGTCAGGCCATCTATGATGGTGGCTTCCAGAACGTTGCGGCAGCTCAGCAGCTCATGTATTATCAGTAAGGCGCATAACGAGAGAGAGAGAGAGAGAGAGAGAGAGAGAGAGAGAGATGTATACAAAATGATGGAGTGTGGTTAGTTCTGTTGAGA